AAAAATGAAATAGTATTCAACAGACTGAGTGTTGCAAGCCAGGGCTGACTAGGTTGATTTGGTAACTTAAGTTCAACACTGGAATAAAATGGAGCATTCAGAGAAGATCTGATCGCTTTAAAAAAAAGAAAGAAAGTGCTTTCGTAGCTGCTGCAGCCCCGTGGGAGGCTGTTCTGGGGCCTCCATGTGGGGAAGGGTCTCTGCCCTCTCCTAACTCTGCCACACCCCTGACCCACTGCACCCTTGTTCCCCTCCCCTTTTACGTGGAATAGAAGCTACTGCAGGAAAAGGGCACCTAAGATGGGCCAGTGCAGAGAGCATCGGGTCTAGAGTCAAGAAGACTCATCCTCCTGAGTTCAAATCCAGCCTCAGACGCTTTACTAGCTGTGTGACCCTGGGCAAGTCACTTCACCCTATTTGCCTCAGTTTCCTCATCTGTAAAATGAACTGGAGAAGGAAATGGCAAACCACTCCAGGATCTCTGCCAAGAGAACCCCACATGGGGTCACAGAGAGTCAGGAAGGGGGCTGTGTGCCTCTCTCTTCTATCGCACCCCTGGAGCTGAGAGGACTGGACAGGAGGTGGTTGCAGCTCTGGAAAGCCCCTGGGCCCCTGGGCTGCCTGGTGAGGGGGGTCAAGCATCAGGGCCCAGAACTCGGGCACCCACTAAGTCCTGCTGAGCCTTTTTCCCCAGAGTCACTTAAACCTTGTTCTTCCTCGCCTGATCGCATGAGGCAGGGCATCAGGATCCTGCTGCCACCGCACAGAGCAAAACACTTTTTTCCCCAAACCTGTCTCTGTCCTTTGGAGAACTTTATACTACTTGATGGACTAAAAGTTGATTTCCCAGTGTAACGGTGAAAACTTATTCTATGATCTGAGAAGATAAAGCAAAGCCCATAGTCAGGCTTAACAATTTCCAAGCAAGAGATCATTTTTTTACATTCAAACTTCATTAATCTAAGACCTACGTATTCAGAATTATTAGTAACTTAGAAACTGACAAGGCTGAAGCTACACAAGAAAAACGGGTAAAAACAAATTAATATTGTGTAACGTTAGGGAAAGATTTCACTCATTTTGTTTAAAAAGCATTTGATAGGCTATTACGTAATCATTATATAATCACTCATCTTTATTGTCCTCCCCCACTCACGTCCTCATCTGGTGACACCACAGCTTGGCAATGACCACATGTGAAATACTTCCTGGTTCAGGGCCAGCCAAAAGATGGTTACTGTTCATCCTTACTCCCCACCTTAACTGCCCCAGAGAAGACATCAACCCTGGCGAATGCAAAACTGGCATCATACCTGGCCACTTTCACATGAAAAGAAGAACTGGTGCTGTTTCTAGGTCCGGCTTAGGAAACAGCTAATCAAATAAAACAAACTGGATTAGGGCAGTCATTGTGTATTGGGACTTAGAGGTGATCCATTTAATAAAACAGATGTTTTAGACTGCTTTCACATCTTTCTGAAAGACCCAGATGCAGAAGGCATTATCTTGAGGGGCAAAATTGGTGACAATGCCCAAGTAAACATGGCAGCCTTCACGAAGCAACACAATCAGACCCAAATGCCAAACCTTTCACCGTTAGTTTGACAGCTTCCCCCAGAAGAATGGATCCTCTGGGGCCATTCTGGGGAGAGGAGGTCAGGAAGGGAAGCTGTAGGTCAGGAAGGAACTGTGGCTTCCCAGAGTTCTGAGAGGAGGAAGATGTTACAAAAGAAGAAAAATAAATGTCCACGTAATGAATCACTGCAGAAATGTGAGCCAGGAGCAGCCAGTCCACATTAGCTGCTCTCCTCTATTGGCCTCCTGTACACGGATGCTGCTCTTCTAGTTCAGCAGGAAGTGGCGGGCGATGTCTGAAACACCCTTACGTTCCAATTTCACCTGAGTGTCCATCACAGACCAGTCATGAAGCACTGATCTGACTCTGAGGAGAGGCCACTTCTCTTCTCTGGGGCCGGCCTTGGCCTCTATCACTCCTCAGCATTCCGTCTGACCGCTTTCCAGCTGTTCTTTATGTTTACGTTGCTGCAGCCATGACACACAGTTTTCCTGGTTACGCTGCTTTGTTTTTCATCAGCTGGTATGAGCCCCTCTGTGCTTCTCTGCAAGCGTCATGTTGGTGGTTTCTTACAGCATGAAAACATTCCATTTCATTTCCTACCAGTTTGTTAGACCATTCCCAATGCCAGAGCATCTCCTTTGTTTCCAATTCTCTGCTATCATCACACAAAAACCAACTGGGAAAGACCCAAGAATTGTGATCAGTGCAATGACCAATGCTAACTCCAGAAGACTGGTGATGGATCACACTTCCCATAGGGTGGCAAAGAGGTGATGGCCTCGAGGGGCAGAAGTGCCCATGTGTGGGTTTGCTTTGACTAATCTCATTTGTCACAACCGAAGGCTTTTTTTTTTAGTGAGGAAAGAACTACAGGAGGGAGTAATAATGATGCCAAAAAAAAACCTACCCCCCCCAAAAAAAAGCCCAGAAAAGAATAATAGCGAAACATTTAAAAAACACACAGTAGAGAAAAACATTCAGAATGGGATACATAAGCAATGGAGTGTCAGAACTACCACGTGAAATTTAATGTATACTTTTTTAAAAGCTGCAACTGAGATCACATATAATCCTCTTCTTCTGTCCTTTTTTGTGTAAGGAACTGTTTCCTATTTGTTGTCAAGTTCAAAATAATTACAAAGAAAACGGATGGAGGTATCTCATAACTATGGTTACGGAGAGAATTTTTAACTTAAAAAGGGATCAAGATCACAAAAGATAAAGCTGATACTTTCAATTACATAAAACTGAAAGTCTTTTGCACATACAAAATAAACACAGCTTTAGATGAACAAGGAAATTGTTGATTGAGAAAAAAAAAATCTTTGCATCAAATATCTCCAGTAAGGGTTTGGTATCCAAAATAATAGGGAAAGAAAATAAACATGGAAGACCAAGAGCTATTACCCAATAGAAAGACTGTTGAAAGACACAAACCGTCTCAGAAAGAACTGCAAACAATTAACAGCCACAGGAAAGATCTGGTCCCATACAACAAAATGCTGTGTTTAAGGCAGGCTCTTTCCCAGCAAGGCATATACCATCCATACATAAAAATAATACCACACAATAACCCTTTGATCATAAACATCAGATGGGCAATAAAACAGGAGACGCACACTCGACAAAGATGCTCCCCGCCACCATGGAGGAGATATAGCAAAACAGTCCAGTTTAAAGAGGACGAGGTCCTCTGGAAGTTCTTATATTCAGATACTGCTGCTCTAGCTGCCCCAAGCCCAGAACTTTTGAGAGCCTCCTGAGATCTACAGTTTTTACAAATAATTTGGCCTGACCATTCACATGAGAAAGATCAAGTGGACAAAGAATGGTAAGGTTACAACATGCATCTGGAGGGACACCCTGCTCACCAATGGCTATACCTATGGTGGAGAGTGCAAATGGAGAACAAGTTAGGCCCAGAATTAAACAGGAGGAGGGCAGGCTGGATTGCCTTTAGGAAACTGCAATGATCCTTTACTGATGCCAAGCTTCCTGTGAAAGCAAAAGCCCATTTTTTAAAAAATGCCAACACTGTGTCACTGTTACCTCTATGGCCATAAGAAGTAGAACGCAGCAGTATCCAAAGGACGGAAAATAAATATCATACAAAGGTTGCGTCACACAACCAACAAGGAACTTCCAAGAACAGAAATAAAAGGTACCCTCAGGGAAATGTGCAGCAGAAAGAAAAGATGGTCTGGTCACGCGGTGAAGGCAAGTAATGAAGATAAATAGTAACAATGTTCACTGATACCCTAGAGATGTCAAGAGAAATTGAGGAAGGCCTCCAGTACACCGGATGGACTTCTGTGGTGAACTGACAGAGGGACACAGATCAAAGTCACATGCCAGGCTGCCATCTGCACTACTGGGGGGAAAAGTCCTCCTTGGTTATATCATACATTTCTTTGAATACTGAGAATGAAATACTGCTTGAAATCACTAGTAATGAGAGAAATACCTATCAAAACAATTCTGATCTTCCAAGATGATGATAAAAAATAGAAATAGTAGATGTTGGTGGAGCTGCAAGAAGACACGCTCACCAATATGATGCTGGTGGAGCTGGGAACTGATCTGACCATCATGAGAAGCAATTTGGAGCGCTCTATTCTGGTAACCACATTTTAGGAAGGGCATCTGTGAACTACAGAGCGTCCAGAAGAAAACATCTAGGATGACCACGGATGTGACGTTCAAGTGACAGCACGTTCAAGTGTTCAAGGAGCTGTGGTCTTCAAACTACCTTCAAAGTCTGTCCTGTGGAAGAGGGAGCCCATACTTCTGCTTGGCCCCAGAAGAAAGCATTAACAGTAATGGCTGGAAGCTGCAATGTGGTAAATTTAGATAGTATTCAAGAAAAATGTTATTAACAATTAGAGCTATCCAAAAGTGGAATGGCCTGCCTAAGGAGGTAGGTGCTCCTTTACTACAGTCCAATTCTGTGGATTCAATAATTCATTTTAAGAAACACCTACTGTGTACAGAAGTTTGTCCTTATCAACAGGAGAGACAGACATAACTCCTGCCCTCATGGAATGTACTGATTAGCTCTGAACCCTATTCAAACGCTACAGAGAATGTTGGGGGGTGGTGCTTGGGGCGCGACACACAAACACAAGTGTCTGTGTAAAAACATAAGCTCTCCCTCAAAAAGCCGATGATCTCGTGACGATGATAAAATATACCTAATCTACAAAAAAAAAAGATAACACATGGTAATAGATACTATAATTATTTTAAGTATAATTCTATTATGTATAATTCCAAAGTAAGGAGAACAAACACTAAGGATGGGGAGATTACAGACAGTGTACTTCAGAAGCACAAGTTCAAGGGTCACGTCTGTTATACATAAATTATTCGCCATATACACGAAAAACAACATCACATGCCAATATTCCCCATTGCAACTCACCACTGCTATTTGGGTCTGGAGGAAGTTCCCTCTTTCCTCATCTACTGCAATCTCATGTCCAGTTTTAAAGAATTCGAGCATTTTCACGATGTCGTGACTGATGGAATCTGGAGTGAGAAATAGGAAGCCTCATTTACTGAATGTTTATCAGATGCAAGGCAAAGTCACAGGATTTTTGAGTTGGAAGAGGCTTCCTCCGTGGCCTTCTAGTCCAGCTCAGAGCTGATAAAGAATCCCCACCCTCAACGTTCTTGACAAGCCTTTACCTGGCCTCTTCCTGCCTCCAGAGGCAGCAGTCTCCCCCAGGACGGCAGTCACTGTTTAGAAGCTGTTCCTGACATAAGCCTTGTAACTTCTACCTGTTGCTACTGGTCTACCCTCTTCAGACACCCAGAGCTGGTCCAATCCCTCTTTCGCCGGACTCACCAACCGTCTACTGGACATTTCAAATGGGCAAAGGCAACCCAAACTCAGCATGTCCACAGCAAACTCAGTCGATCACTAGGCCCCTTGGTCTTCCGCACAAATACGGCTCCACCTCCCATCTCTATTGCTGTCCTCCCTTCTCACCTCCACCTTTTTTGGAACCCCTGATCCCAGAGGTGACAGGGAACCACACAAGCGTATGGAGCAGAGCAGTGGGCTGACAGGGGCAGACCTAACTCTCAGGAAGATACATCTGGCAACAGAATGGAAGATGGACTGCAGCTGGGGGAGACTGTGGCAGACAGGCCAATCAGAAGGGAACTGCAATAGGCCAGGTGCAAGAAGAGGGGCATGGGTCAGGGCGGCGGCGATGTCAGAGGACGGGACACACGTGAGAGATGACATAAAGGCAATACTGACTGGCCTTGGCAAAAGACTGACGATGGGGAGTGAGAGATAGAGAGAGAAGACTGAGAATCATATGGATTGTGACTAGGGGGTTGTATCCTTCACAGGAAGAACAGCAGTGAGCTCAGTTTTGGCTCTGTTAAGTCTGAGATGTCCTACAGGCAGCTGGAGATGTGAGACTCTGGGCGTGAGCCGAGAGGTGGCTTTGGATAAACAGACTGGAGAATCATCAGAACAGAAAAGAAAACTGAATATAAGACCACCAAATGAAGAAGCCTAGAAGGGGAAGGGAAGAGGGCCTGGGACGGAGCCCCGAAGGATACACCTTTGGGTGGCATCTGGAGGAGGATCCAGAGGAAGGAGAAAAACCAGGAAGTAGTATCCCAAAAGCCCAGAGAGAAGAACGGTATCGGTGATCGACACAGCCAAAGGCTGCAAAGAAGTCAAGAAGCATAAAGACTGAGAAAAGGTTATGGGAGCTGGTAGTTAAGAGATCACTAGCAACTTTGGAGAAAGTAGTTTTGGTGGAATGATGGGCTCAGATGCCAGACTGCACAGAGTTAAGGAGAGAGTGAGAGGAAAGGAAGTGGAGGCATCTATTGTAGATGGCCTTCTCAAGGAGGTCAGCCACATACGGAAGGAGGCCTAGCTAGTGGAAATGACGGATGAAGTTGGAGGTTCCTGAGGATAAGGGAGACGTGGGCACATCTGGAGGCAGTCAGGAAGCAGCCAGTAGCCAGAGAGAGACTGATGATAAGAGAGAGAAAGGCGCTGATGAGGAAGGAGGGGCAGCACGCAACCTGCTAGCAAAGATGGGATGGAATGGGAACACCTGTGCACACACAGAGGAGCGTGTCTCCACAAGAAGGGCCCTTTTATGTGAGTCAGGGATGGAGGCAGAGACAGCAGCAGAAGGAATCTGGGATTTGTGTGAGCTGAGAACGCAACAGTTTCGAACCTATATCAGAATGGGGGCTCCATTAACAGAAAAAGAGGTGAGGTGTCAGAACTTATCATGGGGCAGGGAAGGAGAGATGCTGAGTTCAGTCTGGGATGTATCGAGTTGAACATGTCACGGGCAGCTAGATGGCACAGTGGATAGAGCACCAGCCCTGGATCAGGAAGACCCGAGTTCAAATCTGGTCTCAGACACTTGACACTTACTAGCTGTGTGACCCTGGGGCAAGTCACTTCACCCCATTACCTCACCAAATAAAAATAAAGTCTTATAAACATGTCACAAAAACCTCCAGGTAGAGCCATCTAGCAGGGCCTGGAGCTCAGAAGAGAAGTCAGGACTAAATACATAGATCTGGGGCTCATCTTCACAGAAGTGAAAATTAAAGCCATGAGAAATGAGACAGTCGAGGAAGGCAATGAAGAAAGAGAAGAAAGCTAAATACAGAACCCTGAAGAATGCTTATATTTAGGAGATAGGAAGTAGAAGAGAATCAGAACAGAAGGATTTAGAATCAAGTAAGAGACTGGGGCCAGAGGTGTTGATTTGTGAGTACCCAGCAATTAAAGCTATAATTAATGGTAAGAAAAAGATTGAGTTCTCTCTCAGGAAGAGTCAAGTAGAGACAGAGGGGCAGGCTACTTGGAAACATCAGTAGCCCAAGGACTGTAGCTGCACAACAACCCAGTGAGAGGAGGGGAAAAGAAAAGAAACCAGCAAAGGAATCAATGGTCAGAGAAGCAACTAGGACAAGGAAGTGCAATGGAAGCCAAGAAAGGGAGGAGAAACTCTGAAGGACCAGCAATGCAGGGAGACCAAGGCAGGTAACTGGGAGAAGGTCTCTGAACCGACATGAAGGCCAATGGTGATCCTCGAGAGCGACTGTAGTAGAGTGGCCATCAGGGAAGCCTTGTTCAAGGGATGTGCGAGGACGTGGAAGCATGAATACACACTACTCATTCCAGAGGCAGTGAAGGATAGGAGAGAACTGGGAGAGTTACCTAGTAAGATAAAATGAAGGGCTTTGTTTTAAGATGAAAACACTCTAGCATGTCTGTAGGAAGGAATGATCTTAAACAAAATTTGAAAAGTTTCAAAAAATTAAGCAAAGACCACTAAATTTAACAGTAATATCGCATGTAAGTTGACAAAAAATCCTGTTCTTTGTATGTGGAAATGTCCATATTATTAGGTGTTTATTAAATACAGAATAACCAAAAAAAATTATTTTTAAAAAGCATTAATAGATTTCTTTTGGTGCTTAAATTACGATCAAAAAGTGACACACATACAGGGGAAAAGACTCCATTAAGTGACATGTGAATCATTTCTTTCAAAGCCATGCTTAGTAAATGTCAAATAACACACATGGGAAACAAAGTAGAACATAATTTGTGCACAAAGTGAATCTAATTTAGAAATTAAAGGAGTTCAGAGCATAGATGTCTATCTATGTCAATATACACATACGTAGCTGAAATTCAGAATGAAACTGGATTTTACCTATCACAGTTAGATACTAGTTTTAAAGGTTTTTTTAGTAGAACATGATGTAATCAAAAAACATGATAAAAACATGAGATTGCCTATAGTTGTGTAATTAAAATAAAGCTAATAAAATTGTGGCATTAACGTGATTCCACCCACTACCATTAGTAAAGCTGAACAAAATGGGAAAATGATGATCTCAGTGGCAGGGAGCTGTTTGTTTTTTTACTTCACCCACTTGTTCAAAATGTAATTTACATTTTGTCCTTAAGGCTTTCGCCAGATAAGAAGAATTAAAATTTCCAAACTAGGAACTGAATAAGCTCTAAATAAACAAAGCAGTGAAGATAACAACACAGAATTAATAAAAACTATTATTTATCCTGGAAAGCAAGGACGTTAAAAAAAAAACGCTTTTTGGAATTCAGTTCCAATTTCTACCTAGCTAGGTGTGACAAAATACATTTGGTCTTGTTCTGACTCAAATTAATGATGGTCTGAACTAGTTAAAACACAAAATATGCTATTATCTAATCCAAGTGTACTTTTTGTTCAAAAATCTCAAAATAATAATCCAAGCTCAGTTCTTCTTCCAGAAAGAATACAGAGCAAATTCCGTCAGTCAATAAGCATGTATTAAACACCTACTATCTACCAGGTACTATGCTGGGATAGAGAAAGGCAAAAGACAGTCCCTGCCCTTGAGGACCTCAAAATATGGGGGGGGGGGTGACAAACATGTGAACAGACATGTACAAACAAGCTATGTGCAGGATAAATCAGGACAAACACCAGTTGTTCTAACAAAAAGATGTGTGTATTTTACCTAGCCTCAGTTTACCATTTTCTTCAGATACTATATGAGATAACAAAATATTCCATTGTAGCAAGAAATGGGTAAAATTATCAAAAGTTTATTGTACCTTGTTTTGGCTTTACATTTTAAAGAAATATCTACCAACAAATAAATTTAATGTGGAAGAACACTGTACATTTTTGTTGGTAGTACGCTGATTGTTTTAAAATACTGTCAAATCATAATGTGGAAATACGTTTTACATGACTGCACATGTATAACCTATATTAGACTGCTGCTGTCTTGGGAAGGGGGGAGAGAGGGAGAAAAATTTGGAACTCAAAATCTTTCAAAAAATGAATGTTGAAAATTGTCTTTATATGTAATTGGAAAAAATAAAATACTATTAAATTTTTAAAAAATAAATTACTCATCAAATCAAGTTAAAATTTGGAAATGTTTTTGTTACTTTTTGTTACCTTTGATTACATACCAAATTTTAAGTGATAATCAATGGCTAAAAGTAAAATGCATTCACTTTAAAAGACTACTATGAAAGAGGTGAATTTTTAAAGTATAGTGGGTTGCCCATTGCAATACTGCTGGAGTAAATCAGACACTGATAGTTAAATATAGCACAAAATTCAATACCAGGATGTATAACTTGCCTTATATATCTCGGCAGTTCTACTTTACAATTAAACACATCTAATAAGTCTCTGATATTAATAAAATGGTAACAACAGACTATCTTACTTTGGGAAAGCCTCGGAAATCTTTTTTTGAGTTTCCTTCTTAATGGCTGAAGTGCTGGCATCATTTCTGGAACGCTTAAGTAAAAATCTGCCTGGATTTCATCATCCAAAATCTGAAAATCACAATAAAATTACAGTCTTACATGGAAAGCTTCAGCCTACAGACCCTAGTGAAATTTTCAAGATAATTTAGTACTTTTATGAGTCATTTGGAAAATGAATACTAAACACAATTTCTTTTCATCAGAATAATACAGGTAAATTTATTAATTATGTACATTATCCCTGAAACAAAACAGTTCTGTCTTTCTGTTAGGAAGACCCTCAATGGGTCTTAATGTTGTGAAGGTCAGATACATTCAGATACATGGGCCTCAGCTGAGCAGAAGTATTATAAGCCAGGCCAATGCCTTGATTACTTTTTGTAACACCTGCAACGTCATAAAGCAAAATCCAAAAAGTTTGATTTCTAAGTGTGCTCCAAAATAGAGAATCAAGCTCATTATCCAACTGATCATGAGTAAAACTTCATTAATACAGAATACAAAGTTTACTTAAGACAATACCAGGAATGATACTGTTTAGAGAGCACCAGATGGCCTAAATGTGGAATTATTTTCACAAAGATCAGAAAATTAAAATATTCTGCTGCAATGCTTGATAAGTTTACATTTTAAAAAGGATTAAATTCAAGTTTACTTTTAAGTGACTCTGTGTATTACAGACAATTTTCCCATTTAATTTTATAGAGAGAGCAAAAATATTAATATGTGCACTAAAAAAGGACAAAATGAATCTAGGTAGTTAATTAACACTAGGCAGTTAGGAAGTGCACTGGATAGAGTACTGGGCCTGGAATCAGGAAGACTCATCTTCCTGAGTTCAAATCCATCCTCAGACACTGGTTGTGTGACCCTGGGTAGGTCACTTCACTCTGCTTGCCTCAGTTTCCCCATCTGTAAAATGAGCTGGAGAAGGAAATGGCAAACCACTCCAGGATCTTTGCCAAGAAAACCCCAAATGAGGTCACAAAGAGCGGGACACAACTGAAAAACAGCAGTTACTTTAAAAAATTATTACATTACACGATGTCCCATTTAATTACTTTTAAAATTACCTTTTAATGTTACTTTTTAATGTGTTACCTTTTAAATGTATAAGATGAAGTAATTTGTTTAGAAAGTATTGCCTGGGAAGCAGACGCAATTTTTAAGCTTCTAATGCTGAGTAATATCTGTGTCGGTACATATTTCAAGTCCTTGACTTTTAAAAATGGTACAAAACCCCATTTGCTTGAACCCTAATTTAGGCAACAGTTCCCACCTTTTGGGATTGTCACCCCTTCAAACCCTGACCCTCTACCTGCTCATTTGACTTTACACCCTAAGCTCCTAAAAGTGCACATGAAATGCATGTCTTTAAAGTGAATTAAAATTAAATTTTTTTTGAGAATTTTGTTATATATCTTGAGATTTGGGGATATGATCTAAAAATATAACAGAAGCAAGAGCTAGGAATGCTGCACCTCAGGGACAGCTGCTCTTCCAAGTCACCCGCTGCTATGCTTCTGAGAACAGGGTTCCCAAGGGGGAGAGAAGAGATCAGCAGCCTCCTAAGTTCTGAATGCTCAGGGTGATGCAATATTCATTGGGTAAAACTGACAGGCTTGAGATGCAGGGAAGAAAAGGTCGGGGGAGTGGAAAGGAAAGAGAAAATGGAGGAGAGAAAGGAGAATGGAACAGAAAGGAGCAGTTGAGAAAGAAAGAAAAAAGAGAAGTATCTATGGTAGGAAGAAGTACAGTACCACCAACTATAGCCTCCAGGATCACTTTATGGCTTGGTAACACACGTTATTTCTTACCTTTGGCCTCTTGTAGATATTCCTTCCCTACTCAAATCTAACAGTGTTCAACTTGGTTAGCATGAATTTAACATAAAGACCCCTTTATCTGGACCTCAGGATGAAATAATACATACTTCTGCTAATGCCGTTCTATTGCTAAATGTCCCAAGTAGTCTATTCAACAATAATACACTTACTTCAAGAAATGGGAATTTTACCAAACAAAACACTATTAATTTTAAACTCTTGTGTACTGTAGAGAGTACTGGAATTAAAGTCAAAAGATCTAGTTCCAAGTGCTGGTTCAAAACTGTGGGCAAGTCACTTAACCTCAATGATTCTCAGTTAATCGTCTGTAAAATGGAGATAAAACCTGCCTTACCTTCTTCACAGGACAATTTGTAAACCATAAAGTGCTGTATGTTAGCTATTGTTTGCTCTCATAGGACTAAACATGTATTTGTTGCATTTTAACCCAAAACGTAGTGTAGTGAAATTGAATTACTAATGATTAAATGAATGATAATTTCTGAAAAAGAAGTGGCCATGGCACAGCAGACAGTCACCTGGACTTGGAGCCTGAAAGACTCAGGAATCACCTGAGACACATACGGTATGACTCCATCAAGTCACCTAAATTCTCAAGGCTCTCTGCACTGGTAGAGAGTGCTTCCCATCTGAAAATTCTCTGTCTCAATGAAATCGCAGGTCCAGGCCCTATCTTCTAATTTCCGGAAAAGGAAAATTGACTAATGTTGATGGTTTAAAGGACTAACTCAAAACAATTCTTAAGCTAGTTACAACCAGCTAGAGGCAAAACCAATTTGGACCCTCCTAGAAGTTTAAAAGAGATTTAATTTATTCAGTTGGCTAACTTTGAAGGAGGAGGGTCTGTTAATGGGGGACAGTGGGGGAGAGAGAGAAAAAGGGGAAGAGATGATTTGCAAGATTCTGCTTTAACATGTGAAAATTAGAAGACTGCAGAGAAACTACATTAGACACTCCCAGCAAGAGCCTTCCCTCTGCCCCATTGCAGCCCTGGGCAGGAAGCATTAATGGCCCTGCAAAGTGCTACTGTCCCTGAGTAACTTGGTTTGTAAAAGCATCTCTTTTGTTGAAGGGAACACTCCATCTGCTTTCAGCCTCTATGACCCTCCTGGCTGCCACTAAACCCTGACAAGTGGACCGGACATATTAAGATTCCTTTGTGCCTATACCATGGAGCAGGACATGCTAATTCATAAATGCAAATTTTTTTATAGGAGGGGATGCTATATCCCCGGCATCAGACCCAAACTGCATACATGGTTTGTTTTTGTTGCAAATTTAATCATCACCAAACACAAACATTTCCAGATTTCTACAGGAAAGAAAAATGTATAATAAACTGTGAATTTCTTTTATGTAGCTTAAAAAAAATAATGTTATAATATATACATATATATATCTATATATGAAATATAGCTATATATGTTAAACGAGGTAGTAACAAAACTGCTCCATAGGTCCCCTTCTGAGCTTTTCTTTTGCTGTGCATTTTTTAAAATGCCTTTTTTTTTTTTTTGCTGTCTCTCCCTACTCACTAATCCACCTCCTCCCCCAAAGTAGAAGCCCTTCTTTGTAACAAACACGCAGTCAAAGAAAACAAACCAATGCACTGGTCATGTCTGAGCTCATGGCTCATTCACCACATGGTGGTTTTAAAGAACAATAGTTTATTATCTCTCAATGCCTTACCCCCAATTATTACCTTGGCAATTATCCTTAAAAATAAAGAGTTCACATCAAACCCACAGTATCTCAGGAAAACATGCTGAAATAGGTGAAATGCTGTGCTTGCTGTAGTTTTGAGCGCTGTCCCTAATTCTTAAAGGATATTTTACACGAAATCCTTGCCTAGGAAGGGGAGCCGAAGTTTGGGGAATGATGAGATTTCAAGTCTTTTTCTCTTAAACCAAAGAGTACTTCACATTCCATTAGCTAAATTCCCACAATGAAAGAAGGTTTTTTATTCCCCCCCAGTAAATAAATCCTAAGAAAAATGTCTTCTATTACAGAATGAATTCCCAAAATTCAATGGACATGGTTTTTTCTCCTTTGTTTCTACTGAAACAAAGTAGACCAACTACAGGTTCTTTATAATAAAAGCCAAGTAAAGTGATAATTATTTAAAACTATAATTATTTAAAATTACTATTACTTAAAATATTCTCCCTCTAAGAAATACAAAATGATGCTACTGCATCCAGAGTGGAGTCAGAGGTATTGTCAATTACATAAGAGTCAAAAGGCAGACCTCCATCAGCCAATGCACTGCCGAGGGCCCTCGTGATTCTGAGCTCCGTAGTCGAACACAACATCGGACACATCACCCATGAGGATAAGAGCACAGAACTCAAATTCTAAACATCTGTTTCTCTAGCAGGCATTTGTTGTTTAAAAGTTGTTTCAGTCCTGTCAGACTCTCTGTGACCCCATTTGGGGTTTTCCTGGCAAAAACTACTGCAGCAGTTTGCTATTTCCTTCACCAGCTCATTTTACAGATGAGGAAACTGAGGCAAACAGGGTGAAGTGACTTGCCCAGGGTCACACAGAGCTAGTAAGTGTCTGAGGCTGGATTTGAACTCAGGAAGATGAGCTTTTCTGACTGAAGACCCAGCGTTCCACGCACTGCACCACTGAGCTTCCCCAGCCAGGTATATTTCCCTTTTCTCCCCCTAGTCATGCCATTCTTTCTATTCTATCAGTGAAATGTTTGTTTATCCACAGCACACACAAACATGTCACAAAACGAGTGAAGTTAAACTGACCACAGACTTCAGCGTCCTGACACTTAGTCTCACCGAAGTCTTGGAAGAGGAAACATTTTGTCTACGTCCCACCCACTACTGAGAAGAAACCATGCACTCAATGGGGAGTAAGCAGTGAACAGGAAGCGAGGCAGTACCTTCTGAATCAGAGCAGATCCTCCTGCAAACGCAGCCCCGTTCTCTTCTGCGATTTTAATTTCGGGTTCTTTCTGGAAGAAAAAGCCAGAAAAGTCTCTCTCAAACTCATGTTGGTGTCTGGGTACTTGTTACAGATAAATATTCACAAAGGTAGTAACGTCATCAGTCTAAGCCAAATCTAAAAAGGAACAATTCATGCACAAAAGTGAAAACGGGGCCCTTTTCCGATGCTGAAATGAGGCAAGGACAACTCACAGCATGCGTGTGCTCGCAAGTAACCACAGCTGGCTTCCTAGGTCATTCTCACCAAGCCTGCCGCATGGCTGGACCTAAGCCTCAAGGACCGTCCAAGCGTGGTCTTCCAGAAGGAATACCGATTTTAATTGTCTTATTTAGTTTTCTTCTCTTATATGCTAACGTCTTTTAAACTAAGTTGTTCTGTAATTATTAGACAAAAAATTTCCAAGAACTGCCATATAAACTTGAGCAAATAAAATCACATAGTAATGTGGGGAAAAGTTGGGGTAAATGATGAAATTTAAAGCACAAGATGTAAATTAACATATTTGAAGGTCTGGTATTTAAAACACAATAGTACCAAAGGCCTACTTCACCTTGACATCACACAACTTTATTTCAATCCTTTGATATTGTTGTTGGCTAATTCCTTCACTGATACAGAATGCGACCCCCTTTACTCCTTAGCCAATGGTTCCTCAGGAGCTGCTGCAGGTCCCACCCCGACTCCCACAGCACCAAGGAGGCACGAAGGAGGTGAATTTGAGAGCCACTGACAGGTAGGATGTGCTCAGGATGTTACTTGAGGCCTGGCCGGCAGAGTGTGACCTGCCAGAGCCTTCCAAAGCTCAAGATCCACTCTATGGCATGGTACAGTGCATATTTTAAGGGAGATATTATTATACAGAATAATGAAAAGCTGTAAAACATCTACTATAATCAAAGTTTTTAAGATTCAAACACAGAGTGGCAGTTAGGTGGCTCAGTGGATACAGCACCAACCCTGTAGTCAGGAGGACCTGAGTTCAAATCCAGCCTTAGACACATAACACTCACTAGCTGTGTGACTCTGGGCAAGTCACTTAACCCCCCAAAAAGAAAGAAAGAAAACGATTCAAACAAAAAAGAAAACTATTTTTCTGGACTAAAATACATCGTTAAAGTCTATTTTCTAATTTCCTACCTTCACATAACAAAGGATGACAAGTTCAAAAGTACTAAAGAGAAAAAGAAGCTGACTGCACACAGAAGGTCTGATGAAGTTTTAGAATAGAACATTATCTAAGGATTTAAAAAACCCAAATGTAAAATATCGATCACTTGACAGTGGTTTCAAATTGAAATAATTCTCCTAAGGAATAGTTAAGACTCATGAGCTAGTGACTGTGTCACATCTGGAATACTGGTATTGAACTGAAGAATTTTAAAAAATCCAATTCCTAAGAGTAAAAAAAATTAAAAATTTTTTTCCCTATATATTTGGTACCCTAAAAAAAATCCTAACCTTCTGATTAGCCCTTGGAAATACAGATGGTTTCATCACTTAAGAATAGACCAGACTAACTCAATTGATAAATAATCAAAGGATATGAACAGGTAGTTTTCAGATGAAGAACTGAAAGCTATCTATAGTCATGAAAAAATATTCTAAATCACTATTGATTAAAAAAATGCAAATCAAAACAACTCTGAGATACCACATCACACCTATCAGATTGGCTAACATGACAAAACAGGAAAATGATAAATGTTAGAGAAAGTGTGGGAAAATTGGAACATTAATGCATTGTTGGTGGACTTGTGAACTGATCCAATCATTCTGGAGACCAAGTTGGAACTATGCCCAAAGGGCTATAAAAATGTGCATACCCTTTGACCAGCAATAGCACTTTTAGGGCTATATCCCAAAGAGATCATAAAAATGGGAAAAGGACCTACATGTACAAAAATATTTATAGCAGCTCTTTTTGCAGTGGCAAAGAATTGGAAATTGAGGGGATGCCCATCCACTGGGGAATGGCTGAACAAGTTGTGGTATATGAATGTAATAGAATACTATTGTGCTACAAGAAACGATGAGCAGGCAGACTTCAGAAAAACCTGGAAAGATTTGTATGCACTGATGCTGAAGTGAGCAGAACCAGGAGAATGTTGTACACAGTAACAGCCACGTTGTGTGATGACCAACTTTCATAGACTTAGCTCTTCTCAGCAATGCAAGGACCTAAGACATCTCCAAAAGTCTCATGATGGAAAATGCTATTCACATCCAAAGAAAGAACTATGGAGTATGAATACAGAATGAAGCATACTATTTGTTGGGTTTTTTTCTTGTTTTGTTTCTTCTTTCTTGTGATTCCTCCTATTGGTTCTAATTCTTCTTTACAACATGACTAATGTGAAAATATGTTTAATAGGAATGTATATGTAGAGCTTATATCAGACTGTGCACTGTCTTGGGGAGGGAGGCAGTGAGGGAAGGGGAGAAAATTTAAAACTCAAAAGCTTATGGAAGTGATTGTTGAAAACTAAAACTAAATTAATTAATTAAAATTAAAAAAATAAATAAACCAAACTAAATAATGATTTAGATATCTCTAACAATAAACATCTTTTTATATAAAAGGTTCATAAAGTTTACCTACCTCTGTAAATACCAGAATTTTTTTAGCCTTTGAAGTAAAAGGAAATGGGAAATTAAGGACACTGATAAATGGCTCCACCTTTTTCTAAAATGCAAAAAAGAAAAAAAAAATAAGGATTTTAAAAAACTCTTCCATTGCCTATAAGCACACAACTAACATATTCCACCACATACCCCATCTTTCCCCCTCGTCCACCAGTAACTGTACTACATAAATAATCATGGGGGGGGAGTTGCAAAGGTTGCCTAAAATCGCAGTATTTTCTTGGCACGTGGGGGAGGGGACCGACACCAAACCATATGGGCAAACTGTCATATCTGGATTAACAGCCAAAAACACATTTGTCCCAAATGGCATACGGATGACCACAGGGCATATAGCTTAAATTCTTGGTTCCAATGAAATCGTGTGGCGCAACTACAGTGTTTTGCTGGAGGAGGGACGCAGGAGCAAGGCAGCCCGCCTCCCATTCAAGCAGCCATCTCGAAGACTTATGGGAGGAAACAGACTATTGCTACACAGGATGAGAAGGTGTGGATGGGTGGCTACTTGCACCAACCGAGGGTACGTACCCATTGAAAAGATATATAAAAGTAGTGAAGTGACCCTTCTACTATGCCTACATAAAATGCAAGAAATTGGAAACTGATGTGATATTATCTTCACAAATGAGGGAAAGAGAAAAATGAAAGGAAGGAAGAGAACTACGTATTTCCATTCCTATACCTAGAATATAACATGTGTATGTTGTTCCTACAGATCATGTTCCTACTGGTACCTGGAGAAAAGAAATATGCAACAAATCTCTGAAATACAAGATGTTCCACTTAAGTTCTTATTCTATAGTATGGGATGAACCTGGCCTCTCAAAGGTCATGTCAGCAGAACACACATTGGAGAGGCTGAATCATCTAAAGACACATCACTAAGTAATGAATTTTTCAGCCACGTAAATTCTTGAAGACCACACACTGACTTGTAGCTGGGCTGAAATCAATATGAGTGGTCGGAGTGCCCTCAGCAATAAAATCACAGCTCCTCTATGTACTAAACAAAGAAAACAGAAAACTGGAAGAAAAACAGGCAAGACAGGAAGTACTGATATTCAGCAGGAGCTATCCATCAACCCACAAGTATTTATTAAATAGCTACTAAGGGGAGGTAGCGAGATGGCACAGTGAAGTCAGGAAGCCTTCATTCAGATCCAGCCTCAGACACACTTAATAGCTGTGACACTTAATCCTGTTTGCCTTGGTTTCCTCATCTGTAAAATAAGATAGAGAAGGAAATGGCAAACCATTCTAGTATCTTGGTCAAGAAAACTCCCATAAGGAGTCATGGGTAAGACTGAAAAAAGGAAACAAAAAAAGTACCAAGCACAGTGCTAGGGAGGCTGGAAGACAAGGACAAAGGATGAAACAATCCCCACAAACAAGGAGCTAATGTCCTAATGGGGAAGACGACAAGTCCACTGCCAAGGACACGTAGCACATAAACAAGAATATGAAGTATTTCAACGCGAGGTAGCTTGAGAGGGAAGCACAAGCAGGCGGGAGAATCAGAAAAAATTTCAGGAAGATGGTGATGGTGGAGCAGCCTCTTAGGAGGAAGAAAGGAGGAGGAAGTCCATTCCTGGCATGGGAGACAGTTAACAAATGCTGAGGCACAAAGACAGGAGAGGGAGTGGATTGGCAAGTGCGGGAAGGGAAGTAATGCTCAAGGAGGCTGGAAGGAGAGGCTGGGAAGGGCTTTAAAGCCTCAACAGGGAAGTTCTATTCAGCAGCTGACTGAGCATTCAGACCTACACTTAAGGAAAACTATTTTGACAGCAGTTTTAGATGGTGCCCTAATTTAAGCCAGAGGTGACTGAGGACTAGAACCAAGGTGACAGCAGAGAGAAGAGGGAGGTGTGAGAAATATTGTGAAGGTAAAAACAGCATTGGCTTTGTGGGGTAAGGCTGAACACTCAAGAATAATATCAAGACTGTGAACCTGGGGTACCTGTGACAGAAACAGGGAGGGCTATAAGAGAGATGAATTTTGGAGGAAAGATAATGAATTTGGGGTGTCCCTGGGCCAACCAGCTTGAATAGGTAACTGGTGATATGGGACTAAAGCTTAGAGAAAAGAATAGGATGGATCAGATCTAGATATATATATATATATATTTGGGAGTCCTCTGCATAGTATCTATCTGAAAAGTATGTGTGTGTGTGTGTGTGTGTGTGTGTGTGTGTGTGTGTGTATAAATATATGTATATGTATAAGTATGTATTTATAGAAGGGGAGAGGTAATCTGATGGAAATGCTAGTTAAACCCATAGGAACTCATGAGGTCACCAAGACAGGGAATGCAGAAGAGGGTTCTGTAAAATTGAAAATTGATTTTAATTCTACTGTTTAAGACAATCCAAGCTGGCACGAGCTTAAAACTCTCCCACACCTTCAAAGTCCAAACTCCTTACCTTTGTAACTTTACCCTTCATCTATATTCTGGAGAAATGTGTCTTGTAATTACCTCCACTGAGGATTCAATTCTATTGTGGACTCAATTTCTATCCCAAATTCAAGTTGATTCAATCAGAGCCCCAGGCTCTACACACAAGGCTGCAGACTAATCCTATCAGATGAACATTATTCCCATCTCCCATGGAGGAGGTAATGGGGAAGAGGATTATCATGATGTAACGTCAGGCCAATCAGAAGAAGTTAAACTTACAATGCTCTGAGATTCTGCCTGTCATCAATCAGGATCTTTGGTCAAGGAGAGAGGCCACTGACTCAACACATAGGTTACTGCCGGCCTAACTAACAAATTTACCCTGCTCTGCACCTTGTCTTTCATGAACCCTAATTTCAATCATGCCAATCCCAAATAGGACCTTGGTTAGTATACATATGTAGAGGTGGGGGGAAAGTGATATGGATAAAGAGCCAACAAGAGAGATGGAAAATGAGTGGTTGGACAGGTAGGAGGTGAACCAGGAGGCCAGTGCCACAAAAACCCAGGGAAGAAAGAGCACCCAGGAGCAGAGGGCAGTCAGCAGCATTAAAAGCAGGAAAAGGTCAAGAATAATCAGTGCCGAGAAAAGGCCAAGCGGTTTGTAATTAAGGCATCACTGGCAACTTTGAAGACAGCAGTTGGTTCCAGTCAAACGATGAGGCAGAAACCAGAATGCAAATGGAGAGTGGGAGGAGAGGAAACAGAGAGTGAGGGGAATGTGGCTGAGAAAGAGAGGACAGCGTGGCCAAGAAAGAGAGGAGAGCGTGGCCAAGAAAGAGAGGAGAGTGTGGCCAAGAAAGAGAGGAGAGCGTGGCCGAGAAAGAGAGGAGTGCCACAGAATCAGAGCTTTGGGGGAGGAGCAGGCACGTCTAGTAAAGGTTTTTTTAGGGATAAGAGAGACTGAGGCATGTTTGAAAACAGTAGGAAAGGAACCAGTTAATGGAAAAAGGATGAAGATTAAAGAGTGAGTATACCTGAGGTTGCAATGCACTACAGGAGACCAGAGATCAGTGGTGTGCTGGTAAATGTTTAACAATTAGCTGCGGGTAGGTGGGGGAAGATATTTATATGCACATGTGTTTATTATAAATTCTGCCTTTATAAAAGATGCATATCAAACAATTTGCAAATAATGATAAACCGTGTGATCCTCTTCACTGTAAATTCCACGTAGCTAAATGATCCTCACACAACACTTTTGTTGCCTTTTTCTACTTGTATCCATAGCCAACCTATGGTTTCAATTCAATCAGGATTTCACAAATGAGCTAGACGCCAGTCTGCAAACTCTTTTCCCAATAAACGTATTTTTATTAAATCTAATGTTATCTAATATTAACCTCTTTCTCATCTTTACGCAGTCTATATTCATGAAACTGAAGTCTCTTTCTGCATCAGCACTGCAACTGTGCTACCTTTCTTAGCTTTGTGCTTGGCTGCAGGGGCAGGAACCTTGTTTGAGTCTACATTATTACCTAGAAAATCCTGAAAACTGCTTCAATCAATTTCACTTAAATAAAAATTTTTATAGCTGTGTGGCCCCAGGCAAGTCACTTAACCCTGACTGCGTCACCAAAAAGCAAAAAAAAATAAAAAATAAATTTTTACTTAATATTTTTTTCACTAGCTACCCATGGTGAAGTCAATTCTTCATAAGGCTAAAGAGATAGTTCTAATCAATCAAAATAATTAAAATACTCTCACTGCTTCTATCTGATAAAAGACATGAGTTCATGTGATGAATTATATTTTCTAGTATCATATTTCTAGGAAAAACATTAAATTTAGTATTTTTATTAAATGGAATGCCTTTAAATTTAACTGGCAACCAAATCTTTAATTTCAGCTTCATGTTTTCCAGTACCAACCTTTAAATTTTCCAAAGCTCTTATTTTTTATACTTTCCGAACATTAATTGATCTTGACTGTAATGTGATTGAAAGTAAAATCAGAAGATCAAGATCTTGAAGATCAAGAATGCAAGAAATTAATGCTAACTAATCTCTTCAGAAAAACAGAATGAGAAGACTGGGGAAAATGCATATAAAATACAGAATATGTAGACAAGTAGCAGCTCATAAACTACATGCTGCCTATTTCAGTCCCAGTACTCAACCGAATTTTAATAATTTCAATGTCTTTAATAATAATCTAACAATAGCTTGTTAAATTGGTGACAAATAGAACAAAATGTACCTAGAAATATTTTTAAATTTAATTTAAATAAAATTTAAATAATTAAATTATTAACCTGTTTTATTTCAGCTACTGAACCACCTAGTGATCACCACAGTTTGTCGGGGTTTTTTTTTGGGGGGGGGAGATTAGTCATGTCTGACTCTTCATGACCCCATTTGGGGTTTTCCTGACAAAGATACTGGAGTGGTTTTGTCATTTCCTTCTCCAACTCATTTTACAGATGAGGAAACTGAGGTAAACCGGGTTAAGTAACTTGCCCAGAGTCACACAGCTAGAAGTGTCTGAGGCCACATTTAAACTCAGGTCTTTAAGACTCCAGGCCCAGCACTTTACTGAGCCACCTAATGTTCTTAACAATTTCATTAACAAAAGCTTAACAAAGCTACTCCAGACTTTCTACCCAGCGCTTTTTAGAACCATCAGAACAAAACAGAATAAAGTTTGCTTTCAAATATTCACTGTTAAAGCCATAATCATTTAAAGTAGACAATAATGTACTGAAAGTACACTTTGTTGTGTTTGACACTAACTCTTCTAAAGCAAGAAATATCATTACCAGCGCAGACGCTGACTGGACTATGCAACGTCTTGAGTTTAACAACTGATCCCATAAGCCAGGACAAACCAGCTCCAGTATACCACTGGGAGAGGGGATGGGATGAAGTACAATAAAGTGGGGTTGGCCTTAACAAGGACAGCGTGGGGGATGATTTCAAGAGATTCTGAAATGAAGCAAATGGAAAAAGGAGCTCACATCAAATGACTTCATTTTTCTCAGCAGAGTAAGGGGCGATATCCTCAGCTGAGAAGGGGAAGGAGGAGGTATGGGAAGGTTAAAGGGGGAAGACGTTTGAAGCAGCTTCTGTGGGGAAGCGAGATAGGAAACCAAACGGCCTTGCTGCAATGAGGGCCCCATTAAAGTTGGCTAACACAAATTTAATACATATCCATAGCACAGTTGCGAGCTTCTTTCTAGCTTCCTAGACCTTGTGAATACAAATACAGGAGGCAGCCCTGTAGGAGCCACATAAGATTGAGGTTTGGCGAGAGAGGAGTGGGAAAGGGACAAGGAGGTAAGGGATTCAAATATAGAGAACAGTGCAGCCTAACTTAGTTCAGGACTCGAGAGTGAAGTCAGAGGAGAGAGAATGTCTAGAGAGAGTACTGAGGGATGGAGGGAATGGACATCTCAATAAGGGTGAAAAATAGTTTTAGGAAGTATAAAGCACAAGGAGAGGTGAATTTCTTTTTTTTTTCAGGCAACTGAGGTTAAGTGATTTGCCCAGGGTCCCACAGCTAGTAAGTGCCAAGTGTTTGCTCTTTGGTTGAATTTGAACTCAGGTCCTCCTAACTCCAGGGCTGGTGCTCTATCCACTGAGCCACCTAGCTGACCCCGAGAAATGAATTTCTAATGAACGAAGTGGAACCCTTGTGGGTCAGTCAGATACGGTGTATGAGGGGCCAAAGGGAAGTGGTGCAGAAGGATTTAAGGAAGCTGAAGGAATTGAGAGGGAGTTTGAAAGTGCATAACGTGAAGACTGAAGTTCCCTAGTATAAAGACAAGAGATGATGAGGAGAGGAAGATGATGAACCAGGGCCTGTCTTGAGAAAGAAGGTAGGATGATCTAGGGGCTCCATACACTACAGCCACCACGGCTTAGACTGGGTGGACATTTTGAATTCAAAGGAGGAAAGATTTCTGAGTGATCAAGGTAAAGGGACAGTGTGGAAGTAGGAGTAGGAAGGAAATGTCTTCCAACTCTTCCCCTCATCCCCCCAGGACCAAGGTGGAAGGGAGCGTAAGAAAAAATACAGGGGCAGCTAGGCAGCACAGTGGATAAAGCACCGGCCCTGAAGTCATGAGGACCTGAGTTCAAATCCGGACTCAGACCGAACACTTGACACTTACTAGCTGTGTGACCCTGGGCAAGTCACTTAACCCCAATTGCCCAAAAAACAAAAAGAAAAACAAAAAAAAGAAGAAGAAGAAGAAGAAAATATACAGCCAGTGCTGGAGAAGATAGTTAGGAATACAGCCTCATCAATGGGAGCCAGGCTTCAGTGAAAGCTATCAGATCGAAGGAGTATGAGAGAAAGAGGACCAGGACAAGGGGAACGTGTTTATTATGGAACAGGAGCTCCAGAGAGCACAACTGGAAGGGAGTATCTAAATTAATGTTGACAGAGAAAATGACGGGCTTTGATTCTGCAAACTAATTTGTACAAACAGCATCACTGTCAGCAGTTCCAGAGTAAGTGAGGAATACTAGAACTCAGCCAGCAGAAACCATTGTTAGATAGGACTAAAATGTATACTGCCTTGTTCCTTTTATTTTCCAAAATAATATTTCCTTTTAAAAAAAAGGTTTTCCTGCTAATAAATCTCTGCTCAACATCAATAACAACGGCTTAATTACACTTTAACCTCTTTTTTGAATTTACTCAGTTATTTTAAACGACAGTCCATACCTTCTTCTTCTGCAGTGCCATATCCAGTGTCAAATCAAGATAGACACCTTGCTTTGGGTGAGAATAGTCCAGAACTTGAAATTTTTTTAGTAAATTAATCGCTTTATCCACTTCATAAATCGGCCTTGGGAATAAGCGTTTTAAGTAGACATCATCCTCAGGCTCGCCCTCCATGTAAGTGTACGTCTTTAGCTTTTCTATATCATCCGTTTTTGCATCTGAAGTTTGTACTTTAGAGCCTTTTTTCTTCTTTTTTGCAGGCCTATGGGGAAAAATATACATTGAAGATTAACTATCACAATATGGATTCCAAAAGAGCTAGAAAGAAAAGCATAAAAATGCATGACAGGAAAGGGAACGATAAAAAAGCTGGACAGAAGACTACAAGTTTTGAGACTACCCAACAATTCACAAAAAAAACACATTTTTAAGACAGTAAAATTTTCCCAAAATGCAACTGTCTTCTGGATAGCTGCTCTACAATTGAAATTTACATGAGATACATTATGTAATTTTTATTCTGAGAAGACTCAAAGTCAAATCCAGTCAGAAATTCCATATTCTACATACCTTTATCACTCAATAAACATCTGTCATCACTGCTAGTGTTCGTCCTATAAAATAAGCAATTCAACAGCAGCGCTAAAAATAGACTGTTACACTGATGCTCATTTCTAATTGTTTGCTGGTGCCCTTTGGATGGGGAACAGAACATGTCTAAGCAAAGTGCCCAAGTAGAGGAGACAAAGTACCTTCTGTACCTATCTTGTTTGCTCCAAAATATTTAAACGTGCAACCTGGGAAAACATACTTTTTTTTAAAATTTTTTTGGGCTAGGCAATGGGGTTAAGTGACTTGCCCAGGGTCACACAGCTAGTAAGTGTTATGTGTCTGAGGCTGGATTTGAACTCAGATCCTCCTGACTCCAGGGCCGGTGCTCCATCCACTGCGCCACCTCGCTGCCCCCATTCTTTCATGTTTAAGTCAGTACAGGAATAACGGGGTTAACAGAAAACAGGCCCTAAAGAACTTGTGCTTCAACAATTATCTATCCCAGGGGTGGGGAACCCTGAGGCCTGGAGGCCACATGTGGCCTTCTAGGTCCTTGGGTGCAGCCTTCTGACTGAGTCCAAGTCTTACAGAACAAATCCTTTTATGAAGGGGATTTGTTCTGTGAGGTTTGGATTCAGTCAAAGGGAAGCACTTGAGGACCTGGACAGCCACAGGTGCCCTTAATGCCAGAGGTTCCCCACCCCTGATCTAGTCTGTCTAAAATAAATATTATGGGAAAATACCTTCACTTTTCTATCGTCTTTGTAAACTCTCAAGTGCTATGTAAACGTGGAAAATTGAATTGACAAAGAAGCTATTAAATTGTCATGGTAATAATCTTAAATTCATTTTGACAAGTGTTTTCCAAGTGTCTACTGTAATGTGTGAAACACTGTAGAAAGATACAAATATGAAGCTGAACACAGGCCCTGCTTTCTCAGAACGTAATATTCTAATAGGCTGATAAAGCAGCATAAAAATGATGAGTCACAATGTGATCAGTGAGAGGAGAGAGGGTGAGCAGAAAAATGATACTGAACCATTAATGATACTCAGAATCCATTCAACCCACCTCATCGTATGTCACATCTCTGACTTTTCTACAAGCCGAAGGTGTTTTAGGGATTTGTCAGAATCCTTTGGGATGCCTTGCCAAAGAACCACCAACCTGTTCCCAGGGAAGCCAAGTTTGCTTTTGGTAATCACTACTGCCTTTCTAGATGTTCATTAACCGGCTCATTAGGGATCTAGTCCAGAACTGACTGGTGCAGGAATCAGTGGCTTAGCCATCACACTGAGTTTTTTCTGCACTAGAGGACACAGTTTATCTAAGCAATGACCTAAACTCCTCAAAGGTAACTCAATGCCCTCTTATTCTCTGTGTATTTATCTTGGATATCAACTTCCTGTTGAGGACCGTTGACAGTTATCATCCTGCCCACCCCTACCCCTACACCCCAGCAGGCCTATCCCATCTTTAAGACCACCCCCAGGGGCAGCTTGGAGGCGCAGCGGATAGAGCACCAGCCTTGAAGTCAGGAGGACCTGAGTTCAAATCTGACCTCAGACCAAACACTTGACACTTACTAGCTGCGTGACCCTGGGCGAGTCACTTAACCCCAACTGCCTAGGGAAAAAAAAAAGACCACCCCAATACAGCTTTTAAAAAATTATCCAATGAAGAAAAAGGAAAAAAAATTATCCAATGGAAAATGCTATCCACGTCCAGAGAAAGAACTGATGGAGTCTGAATGCAAATCAAAGCATACTATTTTTCACTTTCTTTGTTTTTTTTCCATGTTTTTTTTTCCCTTTTCTTCTCTTTCTTCTTTTACAACATGACTAATGTGGAAATATGTTTAACATTATTGCACATGTATAACCTATATCAGATTGCTTGCCATCTTGGGGGGGGGGAGGGAGAAAAATTTGGAACTCAAAATCTTATTAAAAAAATGAATGTTGAAAATTGTCTTTATATGTAATTGGAAAAAAATAAAATGCTATTTCCATTAAAAAAAAATCCCAATCCCTTTTTGTTGTCCTTAACTTTCCTTGCCTGGCTCAGCTCATTCTGAGGTTTAATAGCCCCAACACTATTTTTACAGGACAGGCCAAGCTCTTACGATGACGAGTCCTCTGTCAGTGGGCCTTGCTTCTATCCTCTGCACAGCTTGCTTTCTTCCTAAACTGCCTGGTTAAAGCTGCCTCGTTGAGTCCTTAGTACATTCACACCACTTTCACCTCTCACTAGGAATTGTTTCCCTTTGTGTCTCCAGAATTTCATTCTTTCCTTCCCCATCCCTCCCAGGCTGATTTCACCTAAAGAAATTGAGTCCAGAGGATGCTCCCTAGCCTTCCTCTGAACCCTCTGAAATCTTCTCTTTGAGTCTGGCTTTACGTCAGACTATCCCTGGCTTTGTTCTCTATCACAAACTCTCGGAACACTGATTACTTCCCCCCAGGATTCCTATTATTTCCAACCCAAAATCCAATTCCTCCTGCTGGCGGAGCCGGCTCCATTACAGTTCCCCTTAGTGATTCCTTTACCTTCTGACGAGAAATTACCAAGGCAAGTCTCTGAATGATTAGGTGCTCCGCTTCTGGCAGACAGAACGCTAACATGTCTAGGGAAACTGAGGCCCTGTCACTCCTGTATCTCGCCACTGCGAAGGCTGGGGATCTGTTTCCCAAACTCCTTATCTATTTCTTCTTTTGGTCCAGACAGGTCTACGCTAGAGGTGTCAAAAGCACCAGACTAAAACGCAGCTGGGAAATGGTTAACAAAATAAAAATTAATACAACCTAGATGCTGCCGATTTGTCGCTTTCTAAGTCAAAATGCAGTTGCAGGGATCCTTTTCAATTTGCGTTTGAGACCACTGGTGGCTGGTCAGTAGACTCTTGATGATGAAAACATCTGGTTCTCCTTCTAATTATCATCAGTGAAAGGTTCTCCCTCAACACCTACCTCCCTCGCCAGCCCCCCCCCCGCCCTGGCTTTCCCACATTTCCTCATGAATGTAAACTTCTAAATATACAACGCTAGCCCATCCTGCTTCACCTTTCACCCATCCTGTTTCTTCTGAATCAGTCACATCCATCCAGAGTCACATTCCCTTCATGTATTTCACTCCAGGTCTCAGTGACATACGCTCACATCTGCTTCCTTACACTAGGGGTCCAAGTTCCTCTTGTTCATTGCCTAAACTTTGGAAATTTGTATACAGACATTTGAGGCGATCAATTTTACTACTGGCTCCACTCTTGAATTTTGCCTTTAATGAACCTGCTCAGAATTTCAACAGCTATCCCTTCTCTGTAGCTACTATCTACACTATATAGCTTGGTCGATATAAATTGCCAGCATTTTCTCCCTCCTCCACTTTCAGGAAAGCCTTTTTGAGTGAATTTCAAAGCACACCCGGAGCCCAAGAGCCCAGAGAATGGCAGGGCTCCCCACACCACGAGTCTTAAGCAGCTCAGCACCTACCGTTACCACTGAAGGCAGCAAACCTAGTGAATAAGACGATTCACCTTCTTTACCCCAACCAGGAATAAGCAGTTAAACCCAAGAGCGCTAATAACAGCATAGTCCCCAAATACCCTGTCCAGAGAAGCAACCCTTGTGGAGGTATGGCCTGGGACTGCTGAAGATGCTGAAGTCACAGCTACTGAAGATACAGAAGAGAAAGTTCTAGCCAACAAAATCCTGAGCATTTTCTTAAGATTCAACATCAGGAATGGATGTGCTGTTACCAGTGAAAATTATATTAAATAAAATATTTAATTTTTTAATAGTACTGACATGTCCTACGGAGGGTTGTCTCCCCTATTAGAATGGAAACTCCCTGAAAGCAGGGGCTGTTCTGACCTTCTATTTTCGTCCTCAGTGAATAGCTTAAGCGCTCCGTACACAATACTAATAAACGCTTCTTCATTTATTCATCCCATCATCTTTATTTACAAGAATGGCTCAGTCGATAGAACACTGGGCCAGGAGTCAAGCAGACCTGAGTTTAAATGTGGCCTCAGACACTTACTAGCTGTATGACCCTGGGCAAGTCACTTAACCCTGTCTGCCTTAGTTTTCCTCATGTGTAAAATAGGGATGATAATAACCTCTACCTCACAGGGTTGTTGTGAGGATCAAATGAGATATGTGTAAAAACACACATAGTAGGCACTATATAAATGCTTATTCCCTTCCCCTCTTCCCTCATATATATTCCCCTCCCAAATCCTATATCCAAAGATTTTTCTCTTATACTAAAAGATGAAAAAGTAAGGGAGGAGAAGTTCATCAAAACTAATATATCAACCAAGTATGACTGCACAATTTGGTGGGCAAACTGAGACAAAGTAAAATTTGACTTATACAACAAAACTTACAGCTTTTTACATCTCCAAAAATTGTGTAATATGCAATATGTACTCTTTTGCTGAAATCACTTGTTTTACACAACTTGTAATTGGGTTCAGAAATTTTTGACACATTCTTTAATCCTTCATCAGGAAAACACAATTTTATGACATTGAATATTAAATGTACTCTTGACAAACCATTCGTTTTGCTCAAATCTAGCCTTGGACAGCACACAGATTTTCCAGGGGCCGCTGAATCATGTTTATCTCCATCTCTTGAACACATTTCTTTACCTCTCATGTCAGATGGCACGACCATGGTGCAGTAGTTTATTTCCATTTGGGA